CCCGACAGCACGGCATGCCCGAGGGCCAGCCCTGCTCCGACCTCAGCCTCGCCTCTGCACACTCAGGTAAGACACGCCTAGAGACAGCACACCTGAGACACACTTACGCATAATCGGAGATTAATGTTCTGGTATGTTATTATCCATGTGTTTTGGCCCTTATGAAGTGAATACATACAGTACTTATGGGGCAAAAGCAGATCCATGGACATGAATAGGAAGTTGTCTGGATAAAAGCAGTTGAAACATGCTTTTATGATTATGATACACACTCAAATCTGTGAAATGTGCAGTATCTGACTTATAGTCTTGGATTATTGCTGTAATTGTTTCTATGGCTCTCTCTGTCTACATTATTCAGTTTTATTGCGATTTTTTTTACAGGGTTTATCCTGTGATTGATGTAGAACAATTACACTGACTGCGTGTTAGTATTTTAATTCGGTTTAATTTGCATGATTGAGGGCTGTAAGCTCATTACTCGCTCCATTGTGGCCATCTTCATTCCATTACTTAATGCTCTTGTCTTCGCCTCTCTTAGCACACAACTTAAACCACCGTTAAAACTACTCTCAGTAAATAGCTTTATTTGTCATCAATCTCGGACCAAACAGAAGGACTACCGGGCATAATTTGTGTTAATCTCATTGGTCATCTGAACTCCATGTGGTCACTCAAGGGTTTAGTCATTTTGATCGGTCTAGTTTTGGAGTTAGGGTTTATGTATTGTTTGAAGATTTATGTCGCATTTTAATTTTTTTTATTTGACTATTTGAATGTCATTTATTTTAATAACAATAACTTATTGTATGTTCTAAATTTTATTTACTTACATTTTATATTTATAGTTTTACTTCCAAGTCTGAACCACATGGTCACCCACAGGTTAAGTAATCTTGTTTTTTAGTTATGCTTAAATATGTATTATTTGAAGTTTTTGTTGCCTTTTAAAATATTTAATTATAGAATTATATATATTAATGGTATTTAATCAATTCTCTACAGCTTCCATTTCAGCTTCTGGTGTAAACTATTCTTGAAGTTTAGACATTTTGCATTTTGCACTAAAAAGTTTGATTTATTTATAGAAATGATTATTTCAATTAATGGTATTTGTTTAGATTGCAGTTAATACTTTATAGTTGAGTCATACTATGGAGGATCCTATAATTGGTTTGTGGACAAATGGCCATATGTGAATATACTGTATGTGGCTAAATCCTATTACAGTGGCATTGGTCCAGCATAAAACAGTCCCAGTCCTGATCCAACAGCTCCAAAGATGGATCAAATCACCTATACTGGACTGGAGATTTATACTAGTGTAGAGATCTAAGGGTTGGGTTAAAAACAAGTCTAGTAAAATCTCTCATAATTTAAATGGAAGACGCTCAATTAATCTTAATCTTAATTGAAGAAGACACAAAGTAAGAGAGGAAGCCACCTGCAGTGTGGCTGATGACCAAAATCTGTCAATTTGAGCATTTAAAAGAGGTTTAACGGGTTTAAGCAGCTAGACTCATGTCTGTAAACAAGTCCAATCCGATCACCCAGCGCATCTAATTCTGTCTGCCAGTGAAATTAGAGAGCCTCCGTCTCTGGGCCAGGTTAAGGGTCGAATGGATAGAACAGACCCATTTGGGCATGCGTTTTTTTTTTTTTTCGTTGATCAGATCATGAGAATTCAGCACATTTATCAAATTATGCATTTCACCACATGCCGTTGCAAAGTTGGATGTACCAGTATGTTAAATTTGACGCTTAAATAAGCTTAAATCAATGCAGACTTAAGTGTCCGTATTTCCATGTTCAGCTGTGAGACTCCAACAGCTTTTTTTTCTCCGTCACACAGTCTCTTTTACTTCCTCTCAAGTCTGATTTCTTCTGTGGGTATGTGGTTGAGCGAGAGAGAGAGAGAGGGAGAAGAAAAGGTTGGAAAAGTGCAGAACAAATGAATGAGCAGAGCGTCGTATGGTATCAAGGGAGGGTGGACTGCAGTGTGGAGTCGCGAGACAGGCGGAGGAAGAGGAAGCCGACTGCCGCGCTGGGGTTGCTGTGCACCGGAGAGGCCCGTTAATTAAATCTGAGGGACAGACATGAGAGCTGACCCAGGCGTCAGCCGCAGCCAGTCAGCGACGGAGGAGAGGCGGCTCCTGCTCCCCCACCCTCACCCCCTCCGTCCGGCCGGCCGGCCTGCTGGCCCCAGCGAGGGATGGGGGGAGGGCAGGGCGCCGGCAGCTCGTCTGGCTCTCTGTGTAGACTCCTAAACGTGGCTTTGCGGTCAGACCAGAGACTCTTAATAGGCGTATAAGGTGTTTTTGCTTTTTTCCCCTCCCTCTCTGCCGCACTCATGCTTTCCTAAAGGCAGACAAGAGCGTCTGCGGGAGTCTGTTGTGTATCTGGACCAGTGCGTAGACGTATATTCCCTGAATTTGTATGTTATAATCTTAATCTGAAGATCTCTGAAGATGCAGCATTTGCATATTTATCCTGCAATTGAAGTGTCCAGTCACTGATGTTTATCTTTTTTCCTCCTACAAATCTAGTCTACTTATCCTGTGCATGAACATGAACATGAACATTTATTGCACCTAAGTGTGAGCCTTAATCGACTCTGTAAACCGACTCTGACACTGTAAATCACTTGGGATTTAACAGTTTAACAAATAAAAAAATGTACAGGTATATTATATAAAAGTATGAAATAAAATTACTTTAAGAAATGTTCAAGAAACATTTATTATTATTATTAAAAGTTTGGGGGCAAGTTTTTTTTTTCTTTTAAAACTTTTATTCATCAAGGATGAATTCAAATCAATCTAAAGTGACAGTAAATACATTTATAATGTTACAAAATATTTATATTTCAAATAAAAGCTGTATCCTTGAAGTATCCTTCAAAAATATAAATCCCGGTTCCCACAGAAATTTTAAGCAGCACAACTGTTTTCAACTTTGATAATAAAAAGAAATGTTTCTTGATCACCAAATTTCCTTTTAGTGATTTAATGATTTCTTAAGGATCATGTTACTGAAGATTGGAGTAATGATGCTGAAAGTTCAGCTTTGACATTACAGGAAAAAAATTGGCTACATTTTACAATATATTAAAATAGAAAACAGTTTATTTTTTTTTTAATAAATGTGTGTGCTTATATATATTTATTTAATATAAAATATTGAATAAAACATAGAAAATATAATATAAAATGATATTATATTTATTTTATTAAATAATATATAACAACATATAGTTTTAAATAGCTGTACATTTTAATTGGAATTATATATAAGTTTAAAAAAATGGCTTTACATTTTGTTCCACTTGAGTTTAAAAAAGTATAATCCAAAAAGTAAAACAAATTTTATGAAACTGAAAGAATTTTCATATCTTTCCATGATTTTTCATCTCACCTAATCTGTAAAGCAGTCTGGCCTAGTTAATGCTACCGTCAAACGGTGCAAGCATAATTATACTTTTTTTTTTTTTTTTTTTTTTTTTTAACATTTTCTATTTTCTGTTGATTTTCTGCCCGTTCACTGGCTGCCTTTTCTGCATCTTCCTGCATTTTCCTCAACCACCTTTTGTCTCCCCGTCTTTATTTTTCCCTCAATTGCGGCATTTTTTTTGCCTTGTTCTGTTGTTTTCTCGTTCTATTTCCCATGATTTTGATCTCTCTCTCTTTTTTCGTCTCCCTCCCTCATTTTCTGTCTCTCCCTCTTTTTGTCTGTCTCTCCCCTAAGGCTCTCAGTGGGGGAGCAGCAGTAGAGGAGGACGGTTCTGAATCCTCTGGGCTGGCGGAAACGCCGTACTGCTCCCCCCCCCATAGCCAATCAATGCCATCCTTTCAGTTCTGGCCGAGCCCCGCAAACAGGGGGATCAATAAGTTATTAGCACCATTCTGTCAGCTGTAATGTGGAGATTGATTGGAGGTTGGGGCTCCGCCGCGCCGCCCGCCACTTCCCCTGCCTGATAAAGATGACAGATTAAGGGAATAAGAAAAGGGAATTAAGGAGTATGGCCTGTCCAACTTGTCAGTAGCTGGAGAGAGACGGAAGGAGCAAAGGGAGAAGGAGGAGAAAACCAAGAGCCTTGGTTTTCTCCAAACCATTTAGTCGTTTTGCTATTTCTCCATCAATCTAGCTTTCTCTTTTCTCCTCTCCTCCCTTTATTAAAGTTCTGCCGTTGTTTTGGCCCAGCTCTGCACCGCTCTGGCTGGAGTTGAAAGGAATTAGCAGCAGTGCTGGCGACAGGAGCCGTTCCGTGAGTTGGGTAACATGGCTGAGGCACGAGGCAGCTCCGAGTCTCACTGTTTGGTGTTAAATGTGAGCATCACAGCTTTAAGAGGCAACATTTAATTGGTATTAAAGGCTTTCCGCCTTAAAATCTCTGACCCTGAGGCAGACAGGCGCTGCTGAAACCCTGCCTCTCCCTTGAGTGCACTGAGAGACAGAGAGAGTGCAGTATTCTTGCTGCTGCTGTGGATTTTTGAAGCTCTTTGAATCTTTTTTTATGCATTTATTTATCAAATGAGCACTTAATTTCAAGCTAGAGAAGTAAGTGTGAATAGCATATTTTTACTAAAAAAGTTTGAATAATAAGACTAAAGTTTAATTTGGAAATTCGTGTACTAGCATTCTATATTTTATTTTGTATCATGCAGTGTAGACGGCATAAAATACTAACCAGTAGTAGTCCGAATGAAGCATATACTCTGCACTGTCCACTGAGTATGCTAGTATAACGTATATTTTAAAATAATAACACAAAACGGAGAACAGTAAATGGACAGGAGTTGGAAAGCAGTGGGTGAACAGTTAACATGGAGGTTTATAAGGAGAAAAGAAGCTATGAATGAGTCAGTGTTGCTTCCCACCTTGCAGAATAGCGGCTTCCTCCTCATGGTCCCGAACTTTATTCTTTTGTTGAGTGCCTTGCTTCAGCTAGAGACCAAAGTGCTAAGAGCGGTACAGAGCCAGGTTTCCTCTCCGCCTGAGATGACGTCATGGGCACACTGCCCTGCTCAAAAACTTTTCCCCTCTCACTTACGAAAGCATCTCTACTGCAAATCACTGTGTCCTGCACTTCAAATCACATCAAGAAGTTTAAAGGTGTTATAAGTTGTGTTTAATCACTTGGGAGGTTTGATTCGGGGGACAGAGTGCTGTGTGAGTTTGAGCTATAGGTCTGAGTGACAGTTCAGGACTGTTGATTGAGAGACGGAGATGGAGGTTGAACTGATGGAGATGGAAACTGGACGCAGCCCAGGGCTTTGGGAGTCTTGGCAGGCAGGAGGTTGCCTGATAAGACACGATGGAGCTTGGAGAACAGGCTGGGCTGGAGATAGCAGCACTAGGGTGGCTGAGCCCTGTGGGAAAGACACCACTAAGAGATTAGGCTCAAAGAGAGACATACAGGGAGAAAGAGCGAGCAGATCAACACAGCTGGTACAGAAACCAGAGGGTTCTCTGGATGGTATAAGTGTTTCCCAACCTTTTTTGTCTTGGCTACCTTCACAACTCCATTTGTAAGTACTCCTTTATCTTCACCAAACCAGAAATGGACTCCTTTTAACTCATATTATATAATAAACACCTTTTACTGAAGTTTTTGCATATTGCTTTTGAGCTCTTTTGGCTCAAAAGCCAAAGAGACAGGAGCAGCCAATTGCTATAGTTTTACACTTATGCAGTGATCGTATCTACGTGAAGATAGAGAGCGGAAAATAATTGAATACGCCAAGGGAGATTCTTCACCTCAAAGGCCGACTAAGGGAGAAGTGGAGTGAGAGACAGACGGAGGGAGTGTTGTTGTTGTCTTTGGGTGGAGGTTAGAAGAGGATATGGGGGCCCATTAGAGAGGCCCCTTTTTCTCTTTGGAGTGGGATAGACAGCCTTCCCCCCCGATGAGGAGACATCAAACAGCGTCATTAGTAAAGCTCGATCCCCACAAAGAATCCCAGACCGAGCTCTGCCACTCCAAAAGCCCTTTCAAGCGCAGGCTTGCTTTTCTTTGCCACTCTGTGTCTCTCTTCAGTACTCTTATCTGAGAGAGGGATGAACAGTACGCTTGGTGTCGAGAGGCAGGGGTGTGAGAGAGTAGTTTGTACTTTTGTGTCGGACATATACAGAGGTGCAGTGGGCTCTCTCGGTTTTGTTGCCATGTAAGAATCTTCCCCTTCACTCTTCTTTGATGTGTAGAGCTTTATTCATGGATTACATGTAAGGGTCATCTGTAATAGTGGCTTCCTTTACAAACCCTGTGAAATAAAAATGAGAGTTTTGTGGGGTTTTAGTTTATATCTGTTAGGAAAATGGAGTGAAGGTATTGTTGACATCATCCTGCACTACACAGATTTTTCTCCAATCAAACAATAGTATGAGAATGGTCCACACCTAATAGAGTGCAACAGTGTCTGTTCGCTTTTTCAGCTTTGGTTCCAGAAGTACCAACATGGATTCGGTACTTCGAAACCGACATGGATTCGGTACTTCGACATGCACCGACATGGATTCGTTGATAGACGCTGGCTTTTTCTTCAGCTAACACACTTTGTGTGTAGCCGTGTACGAGCGTAAAACCTCACAACACCCACCCCCTGTCGTTGATTGGTTGGAACACTATTTTTTGTTTTGAGTGGTTCGTGAAACCAAAGCCCCTTTCCTGTGTGAACGCAAACACGACCCGGGATTGATACCGGCATCGATGCCGGGTTGGGGCCCTAGTAACATTGCCGGAATCAGTCCCGGAACGCGCGCTGTGTGAACAAAAGCCAGGATCAATGCCGTAAGGGGTGTATCATAGTGATGACGCTCACGCGACTCTGTTGCTCTTAGAAGAAAGTTTGTGTTCGTCATCAACAAAGAAAGGATGAACAAATGTCTGCAAACTGGAATGAAGCAGAGACCAGAAGCTCCTCTCTATCCGCGCTGATGCTGAGATTGTTCACCAGCTTTGTGGAATGCGTACCTGTTTTCGACGCGTACGTTACACGTCAAGTGTCTTTCCGGGATCTTGACGGGTTGTGTGTGAATGCACTCACAGATCCCGGGCAAATCACTAGCAGTGTAAATGAACCAAAATCAAACAATCCCGGGACAAATGCCGGGTGACGTTAATGCCGGGGGGGTTAAATTTGCATGATTCTATTTTCTGATTTGTGGAGATCTTTTGCAGAATCAAGGAGAATGTAGTTTTTACCAGGAATTCTGCTGTTTAACATTATTATTTAAAAATAAAGTTGAAATAATGCAGACTGATGGCTTCATCAAAAGCATGTACCATTGATTAACATCCTTGTAGCTCACAGTAGGTCTGTCTTTAAAGGTTTATTTATTAAAAATCTATTCCCCAATGGATAAAAGGAATATGATATTACTTCCGTAACCCAACGGTTGCAATTTATACCAAATGCAACAAATCATATTGGCTATTTAAAAAGAAATATGACTATATGTCAATATGTTGCATTCTAATTGTCTGTTTCAATAGGAAATACGTCAGAATAAGAAAGAAAACTGTACTTGTCGAGTGATATTATGAGGTCTTTAAAATGATGCACCCACAGGGCACCATAAATGTTTTTAAAATAACTTTTTATGATATCTATAGACAATAAAACACAATAAATACAATAAACGTTCAAATACAAACAACATGCATAATCTATTTGAGATGCACAATCTCATTAGATAAAGAATCAGACAACAACAAAAGACAAAAGGAAGAGCATAACTCTGTGGCTTTGACTTTTTTACTTCATGTGGCGCATGAGGGCAGAGAGAGAGAGAGAAGGAGGGAGGGAGAGGAGAGTGCAATGACAAACGGTCTCTTCCTTCCTGCATGCATGCACCACCATGCTCTCAGCAGCACCCCTCCCAGCATGATTAGCAGGATATTGATTTGAGATGTGTTTGGGGGGAGGAGGGTGCTGTAATCGTACACTAGACACCAGCGGCTCACTAGAGCGCTGCATTAGGCTTGTGCAGACAGCCTCCACTTTTCTAGAGAGAGAGAGAGAGAAAGATAAAGAGAGAAGGGGAGGGAGAGAAAGAGTGATAGAGAGGAAGGAAGAGATTAGCAAAAGGTGTGAGCTCTATATTCACTGAAAACGGAGAGTGAGAGTGAGTGAAAAAAGCAAAAAAGGCATAATAGCACGACAACAGGAGTTTGATAGAAGCCTAGACGTACTTTTTTTTTCTCTCGCTTGTCTTTTCATTACTTGTCATTTTACTCCGTATTAGGCCGGTGTGAAGACCAAGAGCGTTTGTATGCACAGATAGAGAGATAGAGAGTCAAGACAAGAAACAACGGTAGAGAGCGAGGGTGAGTGCAAAAGAGAGGGAGCGTGTTTGTTCGAGATAGGAGAAAGAGACGGGTGAAAGAATCTCTCGTTTGGCTGAGTAAGAACCAGATCTGTCATTCACGCTGGCGCAGGGCCCTCTCATCTCTTCGTATCTTTAGTCGCTCTCACAGCTCCATCATGTATGCAGGTACTGAGCCAGGTGGTGAGCTGCACGCCAAGGGGTTTAGGGGCCGTCTGACCGCATCTGAACCCCCCTAACCTCTTTCTCTATCTTTTTTTTTCCCCCACAGATGACATTCTAGGCAAGAGGAGAGCCTACTCCCCCAACAGCAGCAGCGAGTGCCCATCTGACAGCAAGAAGTCCCGCAGCGTGTCACCTAAAGGTAGGGGCCCCTCTTGTGCATGTGTGTGCATGTGCGTATGTGTGCTGGAGATGAAAATGCGCCACAATCAGGGCTGTTTAACCTTAGTGCGTAAGATGGAGTAGGTGGGAATTGATGGGGCGAGATTGAGCGAGAGTGGAGAGAAGGGGTGGACAGATAGTAAGAGGAGGGAGGAGAGAACAATGCTCAGTGGAAGAAAGACATCTCCTCCCCCCTCCTGTTAAGTTTTTGCGCACACTCTGTGTGGCGGGTTCACAAGTGCAACGTTGCTAAATCATGTGATATAAATAGAGTGTGTAGTCCCGGAAAGTTGAATTGTAAATTGAGAAATTTACGGAAGTCTAAGCACTTTAATGTAAGAAAGAACTGTCTGTACAAAGAGTTACATGATCAGTGTGACCTACTGTAGTATACCTGAAATATTGATTAACATTTAGAGTATTGATTTCTTTATTTATTAATTTCTAAAATCTATTCTCACTAATGTATTTCCAAATTTGAATTAGATTTTGAAGCCCAGACTTTCAATGTGTTCTCAGACTTTTATAGCAGAATCTAGGATTCTCTTTTTGTTCTTTATTTCCTGCCTTTCTCACTTACACACCTCCACGCTTGAGTGCCAACGCTCAGAAAAGGAGAGTTTTTAGTCCACATTGTAGGAGTTTAAAAAAAAAACAATAAAGTAAGAGTGTTGCATGAATGTGTGATGTATCATTGAGACTCTTGATAGTCATAAACGAAAAACACACTCAGCATCGCCTAGAGCTGCTAAAAGTGTCTCTTGTGGTCGTACGTCCAAAGCAGCCGGGATCTAGATCTAGTAAAGGTGAATGGGATAAGTTCTGTATGAATTGTATGGTCTGATTACTAATAGTGCTTGTTCGACTACACAGGATCTGATTTGAAGTTGTGACACTGAAAGTTGTGACGCTGAAAATTAGGTTATTAATGTTGAAGTCAATGAGTTTAGCTCCAACCCTAATCAAACACACCTAAACAAGCTAATCAATTTCTTCAGGATTACCAGAAAGCTACTGGATTTTTTATCAGGGTTGGAGCTAAACTCTGCAGGACAATGGCCTCCCAGTACCCAAGTTGCCCATGTCTTCTCTATTGTAACACAGGCTCTCACAGGTTCTTATTTAGGGTGGTGTCCCGCATCCATACTTACAACCGTCATGACTCAACCAGGTATTAAAAAAAGCCTCAAATCCAAGAAGTACAGTTTAGTCTTATTCTAATACATTTTGGTGCTTTGTTGGAGAGAGAATTAGCAATTGAGTGAGGGACACAGTAGGGAGAATTGGGTGATGTTTGACTTCCTCTTGCTAGGAAAAGAAATTATGGTTTCTTTTTCCTTTCATGGATATGTGTTTGAGTCTGTGAGATAAGCCCATGGTTTTGAAGTTACTGTGTTTTTGGACACCCTCACTTTTTTGTTCAGTTGGATGAAGCAATCAAATCTAAAATTTAGTTCAAAATCAATATCTTAATGCTAACATTTAAATCTTAAGATTTCGCTAAAATGCAAATCGGTAAGGCTCCTGGGTATTGTCAACAGGCTGAGCTAATGAGGTGGAACAGCGTAACAGGCAGGCAGCAGAAACATCAGGCAGACTCAGTGACACCAAGTCAAATATAATCAAGCATCTAGCAGGAAGAGTTGAGCAGGCGGTAATCTGGATCTGTTCCTCAGACCAGTGAGGTGACCAGTCCTCAAATCTACCTAACATTATTGTAACATATTTTTAGGTTAATTTGTTAATAATGTTTGTTTGTTTTGTTTAGCCCGCCCAAGTGTTCCATATACATATATTATCTACAACAGTGAGATCTGTAATAATTGTTCTAAATACTGTTTATAAGAAATAAACTGTCATTCTGAAAATCCAATTTTACCTTTTCTTACCCATTCTTTAGTTTCACCTTTTGTTTGCTCACTGGTGGTATTAATATTGTGCGCTTACCAAGTGTGACAAAGATACTATACTAAAAATACTATGCAAATCACAGCCAATCAGAAAATATGACAGAATTTTGGGTCAGTGAGATTTTACTATGGGCAGAGTTTATGCATATAAATTAGAAGATTTTCCCACACTTTGTGTGATATCTGGTTAGGGCACAGTGTTTTTAAAAATGTTATACTCTCATGTATGTTATAAAAATTCAATATGCTAAAACAATTCTCATAGAAGTGACATTCTGAAATACAAATAATCATGATAGTCATTATTAAATTCAATATTATATTTTCAGTATTTTAATAATAAAGTTTTCACATAACTGCATCTAGTATGCGACATCTCTATATGTGTCTCAACACATTCCACACCCAAAAATCAGTGTTCTGAGATCTCTTGTGTTTAGATAGCATATTTTATTTTGAGGCATTACCTGCTCGCTCGTCACCGTGTAGCCAATCAGCACGGCTGCTGCAGTGAGAATGATAAATGGGTGTTATGTGTGTTTTAGGTCGGTGAATTACAGTTGGCTTGCGTCGGTCACCCGCTGTGGATTAGCATGGCTTTGGAATGCCGCTGATCTAATGTCTTGTGTCTGCATGTCTGTGATCCATCACCACACCCAAACAACATAGCATGTTGCATGTGTATGCTTTTGTGTGCACATGTGTGTGTAGTTTGAGAGCATAGCAGCTGTTGTGTCTAAGCTCCTTCCTTCCAAACAAACACACACTCACGCACGCACGCAGGCACGCACGCACACACACACACACACAGCTGGAGGGTAGTACTGATCCCCTATCCAGACCATTATGTCTCATTTTATTTTAAGAATGCTGTATATATATATATATATATATGTATGTGTGTGTGTTCAGCATTATTCTGCATGGATGCATTAAATCGTTCAAAAAAAGTGATAGTAAAACTTTTATTTAACAAAATATTTCAAATAAATACTTTATATAAACTTTCTATTCATCAAAGCATCCTGAAAAAAATCATGTTCAAGTATTGTGTCCACAAAAATATTAAGCAGCTTCACTGTTTTCAACATTGATAATAATCACGCATCACCCATACAGCAGAATTGTTCATACTCACAATGCCTCAAAACATCATCCACATGAGCACGCTCACACACATACACACCTGAAGCCTCTCGGGTGGATTATCTGGCGCTTGGCAGAACACACTCCCCCCAGTCCCCTGCGCCGGGCTGCATTGCTTCTGTTCGCCTGCCCGGGGCCAAGCTCCTGTTTCAATGAGGAGGGTAAAATATCCCCCCTTCCACCAATCTTCCTCCTCCCCATCACTCCCCCAAGAGTCTCTCCCCATGCACTGGCTTGAGTTACTGCCGCCCAGCGTACCGAGGAGAACCACACATAGGCTTCTCCTTCACTCAAACATTCAAACATCTCACATACAATCACATAGTTTGAAACAGCTGATTAAATTTAGCTTCTTCTGATCCCACAGAAAACTCTCACACTCCTGCGCTGGAGCCAGGCAGTCACATGACCCCCGAGGAGCACTACAGGCGCATGATGTCAGCTCTGAACGAGCATGGCTCTTATGAGGAGCAGCAGCAGCGCCTGTATCAGTTGGCGAACAACATGGGCGTCCCGAGTCACGGTGAGTGTGCCTCACCTGTGTATGTGTGTGTGTGTGTGAGAGAGCTTGTCTCTATATCCGCTCTAATTACCCATGTAGTCTCATTCCTGGATACCACACAAACAGCTAGAGCTTGACTGCGGAGATTACTGACAATTCTATTTGTGGTCTCAGCCCACCCAACGCTAGGATGTCAGAGTGGGTGATCTGTGACTACTGCCACACACAGTAGTAAATAACACTGCCATTGGGCCCTGAGGTCGACTGGATCGATTTGGCCCTTTGATTGGCTGCAAGCCAACCCTCTAAATTACCAACACCGTGAAAACGGGTCCTTTGCTCGTTTTTTTTCTCATGCCTTTTCAAATTTACGATCACTGACGAGGTACCAGGGTTAACGGATGTAGATTTCTAAGATTTGTAAACCGAAATTTAGTGAGCATTATTTTGTTTTATTTGTTTGATTATGTTTTAACTGCGCTTTAGAGCCTTGTTGATGTTTTTCTCTGAGAAACCGTTAATTGCCTCCAGCTTTTATGACCTTTTTTTTGGTAGCATAAATTCAATCAATCTCACATTCTTGCTAAATCTGAGAGCATACGACTTTAAATTTTATTTGATCAGTAATGATTCTTAATTACTGCTTGCAATTCCGAGGGTTGGGGGGGGGGGGGGTGCTATAAAGGGTTTAATTGCCCCTCTCATACATCTGTAAGAAATTAGTGCCACTATATGTGCCGTTCGTGTCTAGGATTTTATGACAGAGGTGCTGCGCTCTCCTGTCACCTCAATCTAAAAGTTCCTCTGTTTTTCTACCGTCACACTGATAGCCTGGTTAAAACCAGACCAATCTCAGTTGTTGTAACTGAGTTATGGTCTGGCAAAGCGTCATAGACAAATCATTTCCAGAGGGGCGTCACCAGCGGACGTCGCAGGTAGACCTTAAACCAATCAGAGCGATGAAGGAGATGACATTTGCAGAGTGGCGGCCGGCGGAGAAACATCACTGAGTGTTGTTCTTTGCTTGGCTTTTAACAAAAAGGAAACGTTCAAAACGCTTAAAAACAGACGCGATAGCTAGTTCGAGTGAGTGATTTTCGAGGGCGACGAGTGATGTCCATCTTTGTAATGTAGGCTACAAAATCTGCTTCAAAATTCCAGCGCTGTCGTCATCGTGTAAAGCCCGTCCCAACGTTTCTGATTGGTGCCACGATTTCTGTGGACTAGAAATGGGTTTGAATGAGCTCTTTGTCAGACTAACTTTCAGAGCAAATCTAAATTTGCCGGAAGTTGTCTGGGTTTTCCCAGGCTAGTCACACTGAGGCATGTTGTGGACAAATTCACACACAAGTCCCTTCCAGATTTTGTCAATTCTTCTCTCCTTGCTTTCACTTTCTGAGCTCAGCTTCCTTCTGTTCTCCATCTCTACTCCTCTCATCCACCGCAACCACCTTAAAAAAGGTGTGGTTATTTGTAGTAAGTAATCTGAATCCGAGAAGAAAAGGTAGGACGTTTACCCGTCCGTGTGAAATCCAGTGAGAGAAAGCAGCCACATGATTTGCAGGGTCACCGCCGGTCCCTCCCCTAGATATCTGGAAAAATGTCAGGTGTATGGTTTCATAATGGTTGCCATCGAAAACAGACTCACCAGGCTAAGACGCTGTTCCTCCCCTGAGGAATGCGAGCGTGCTGGCTTGCCCCTGCATGCTGAGCTCATAAGCCTACGATAAGGCTGTGCCAGTCAACCACTGCCAACATGCCTGGCTGCCAAGACTTTGATGAGTGAGATACCCATTCTCACCTTTTCACCTAAAGGTTTACTGTATACATCTATGATGTTTCTTCAGTTTATTAAGTTGTTCGTTCACCCAAAATGTAAATTCCTTCATCATTTACTCAACCACATGTCGTTCTAAAGCTTTATGATGCAAAATAGAAAAACCGTGTGTGTACTGATCATTTTTTTCATGTACTTACAATGAACAGGGTCTGAGGTTTCAAAGTTTCAAAAATAACCTTAAAACTATTATTCAAGTACTTTAAGGCAAATATGCAAGTCATTTGCGTGGTTGTGCTCCGGGTGCCCTGAGTTTGAGTCCCGGCTCGCTGAACTTTCCTGATCCCGTCCCCCATCTCTTTCCCACTTTGTTTCCTGTCTTGACTATACTATCCCATGTCAATAAATTCAAAAGGCAAAATTTGGTTCTCAGGTTCAACTCTTTGACTCAATCTGGTCACAGCTCACTGAGGGGAAGATTATCTGTAAATATTAACTTGAACGTTGGTGTATTTCTTAGTTGTGTTGCCAACCAAGTCTATTATGATGGTTTTATGGTGCATTTGCGTCTTTTTTAAGTCAGAACAACCATTTTATTGTAACTGCACTCCCCATGTATTGCAGTCCATTTTTTCTACACAAAGGTGAACCAATGATGATAGTTTTGGTTCTTTTAGCTGGCTGTCGATCCCAAACATTCCCTTTCCAATCCTTCATATTTCACTCCCCCCCTTCCTCAAGTCACTTTTAATTTATTTTCTTGTTGTTGTTTTTTTGGTTTGTTTTGTTGTTTCTTCAGCGCCATAGCTCACACTGAGCTGCTTTTGACTTTTCTGGAGTGGGTTTTCAGAGAAACCTCTCTGGCGCTGGGAAGCGTCAACCCCAGCTGTGTTTCTGTGTGTTTTCTCCTCTCTTCTTTACCTCCACGTGCTTCCATCTCCCTGCTCTCTCCTTTGAGATGCCTTCTTTCTATCTGGCTCCTTTCCTTTCTTCATATCTTTCTTCATCCTTCCTTATGGCTTCGTCTTTATACCCCTAGACTCACCCCACCCCCTCGTGTGTGCCTCTGAAGTGTGTCGGGAAGTGTTGATGCTGTGCTGGGTTCTATACAGTAGGCTCCAAAAACCCCTTGACATAGGCAGAGAGTAGGGCCAGGCCCTTCTGACCATTCCACCCCCCAGACAAACGCACACACTCCCCAAGAACTCTCTACACACAGCCCTGCTTTTATATTCTCTCTTTCTTTTCTCCCTCGTTCATTCTCGCCTGGATCCCCGCAGAGCTTCCTTTCATGTGTTTGAAGTGGAGGCCCTGAAATGAAAGGCCATGAAGGAGGCACGGATAGGTTTGTGTGAGTGTGTGCATTTGAAGGGGTGTTGTGCACCTTTAGCTTTGGCTATGATAAGGTTGCTATAGGTCCTCGTTGTGACCACTAAATTGATGGGCCTCATGTTTGGATTTTGGGGTGGAATTTGAATACAGAATATCTCTTTGATAAACTGGTTGATAGGTTTTTTTTTTTAATATATAATATAAATATGTGTGTGTGTGTGTGTATCTATGTATAATATATATCTATATATACACATGCTACCATTGGAAATTTTGAGGTCAGTAAGAGAAAAAGGCATGATGAGTACTCTCAGTTGCCTTTGGATCTGGCATCCCCCTGAAAGAATTCCCGATGAGTGCCGTGTCTGTCAGCTGCTTCTGGCAATACAGAAGCTCTCAAAGGCCTGCCAGTGCTTTGCCACGGTAGCTCTTTGTGTACGTGGGGAAGAGGAAACCAGATCTAGATAGGTAAAGATTCCACAGTAACTCACGCAGATAATGCAAATTTGGAGTGGGACAGAGGGCACAGAGTGAATGTAAGTGGGAGATGGCTGCATGAGTGTCAGGATTTCACTGTTTGGATGAGTGGTGTACTTGTACATCTAGCCCCTGGTGACCCTGTGCTAACTCTGTTGCAGGTTAAAGGGAATAATTCATCGCTGGGCAACCTAGGAAAGGGGCTTCTGAGGGACTTTTGAGTTTTAGTGGATTTTAGGGCTGTTTTACCATGCTGGAAAGCTGATAGGTGTGTATTGGAAAATGGTTGCACCAGCAGCTGGTTATTAGAAGGTTTGTTGCCAGTCCGAGATGGTCTAAGAGCATCAATGATGTGCTGGGAAACAGCTAACATTTTCCAAAACACATCAACATGCTTTAGCCAGATTTTTCCAGCTGGTAATAATGTGTGTGGATAGACTACTAATTATTTTGATCATCTGCAATGAGTGTGTGACCAAGTGACAGGCCTTGTCACTGCTTTTCCTTGAAAGTATATTCTTCTGGGGTTTTTTTTTCATTCTCTTTTATTCCCTCTCACGGACTGTTGGAGGTTTGTCCGCTGTCAGTCTGGGCCCCCGCGGGGCAGTGCAATAAACAGATCAATACAACGGGCCTGTGCACATTAATATCTGTCGTGGTGCCTCCGACCCGATCACTCAGGCCCACACGGCAGCCTCGGAAATGGCCGCCAGCTCCCGAGGGAACCGTCTAATTAAAAAAGGGCCAGAGGAGAGAGGGAGTGAGAGAGGAGAGCGAGGGAGAGGAAAAGAGGGAGGCATGCAGGATGGATTTTCTATTTAACACTCTTTCATTAGAGAGTCGCTTCCTGTTGTGACCCTGTTAGTTTGGTAATGTTGGGAGATGGGTCTGGGATGGTCTAACATCACAGATTCAGGAGGGAAACCAGCAGCTCAATTACATTTCAGTCATGTCATCTCAAACAGTTTAAAGGGATAGTTCACCCAAAAATTACAATTTTGTCATCATTTACTCATCATTTACTTACCCTCGAGACGTTCTGACGCTTAAAGAATGTTTGTTACCAAGCAATTGTTGGGCACCATTGACTTCCATAGTATTTTTTTTCCATACTATGGAAGTCTATAGTGCCCCACTACTGGTTGGTTACCCTTATTCTTCAAAATATCTTCTTTCGTGTTCAGCAGAAGAAAGAAATTCATGCAGGTTTGGAACAACTTGAGGGCAAGTAAATGATAAGAGAATTTTAATTTTTGTTAAAATTATTCACATGTAGTTTGTTTTATTTTATTGATTTGTGTTAATGGTGTTTGTTAAGGATTAGCTCTATGAACTAACTCCTAATCTTAAGTATTAAATTTCAGCACGTCCCGCACCGTTTAATTATACGGACATGAATGATACATGAATCGAGTGGCTTGTCAAGGTGCGGAATTACTTTTATAAGCAACCAAACCTCATTATTTTTGCTTGGTGAATGATAAACAACAACAACAAAAAATCCATACATAGATTTGGCACCAAGAACACCTTAGAAACCCACAACACCCTAGAAATATGTCAATGGTCAAACATCACGATTTTTAAAAAAAAATATTGATACTACTCTAATGTGCTTGTGCAACCAGTGACCAATTTTTGTAGTGTATTATTATGGATGTTTTCCATATTATAATGTTTTGCAAGCGGCTGCTGGGGGTAAACAAAAAATAATAATAATTTGACATTCTGCTTCCTAAGGACTTTGAGAAATCATTTATTCTATTGACAGTCCTCATTTTATTTTTCTAAAAGGGATACTCCACCCAAAAATGAAAATTCTGTCATTTACTCACCCTCAAGTTGTTGCAAACCCGTATGAGTTTCTTTTTTCTGCTGAACACAAAGGAAGATATTTTGAAGAATGATTGGAACCAAACAGTTGTGGGGCACCATTGACTTTCATAGTAGAAAAAAAACACAATGCAAGATAATGGGGCCAAACAACTGTTTGGTTCCAATCATTCTTCAAAATATCTTACTTTTTGCAACAGGTTTTCTACAACTTGAGGGTGAGTAAATGATGACAGAATTTTTGGGTATACCTTTAAGGTTAATTGGTTTTAATGATGGGTGACAATTCTTTTATTATAATTAATAATATGCTTCATTTGAATTACCCTAATGCTCAGCGATTCATTGGGAGCTCCATGTTGAACAGTGAAGAACTGACTCTACAGTAGATCACCTGTGTTTTTCTATAACTGATTAAAAGGATTCATTTGTGGGAAGACTTGCCTGTGTGACATATAACATATTCTGCTCTGGGACTCTTGGACTAAATCTTACTGTGTTGGTTCAGAGCTAGACTGACAGATTTGGCACCGACAACACAGACCGGACGAGTTTCTCGATTTAACTGGTCTGTTCATTCCATTCACAGAGCTGCTGCGTGTGCGTCAGGAAGCTATGGCTGCCGTTAGAAACGCAGGAGGAATGGAAGCCCACGTCCCCTCTGCAGGCAGCTCCTCTAGCCAGCGGCGCAAACAGGGCCTTCCCCAGCACAGAGACGCACAGTTCCCTGAGCGGTAATGCACATGCACAATACTTTCCAGATTATCGCTTTTGCACACTTTTTCTGCACACTTTAATCTAAACTGTTAGATTTTAGACTAAATGTATGTTCAGTCTTTAGTCTCACATTAGTCTCTCCACCTCCTGCTCTGCTATGGGTATTACAGCCTGACGTGGCGTCCAAACCAGATAAGATGCGACAACCAATCTATCACTATCACAACTAATAAGAGGATATTTGATGTTTACTGTACAATTATGCAGCAAAGGTTTTGGCAAATGAGATTTAACTGTTATCTCGTGGTGTCATCTCATTTAGGAAAAACTAGGACAGTGGCTGAATCCACACATATGCTTTCTTGACTATATTGTCATGTAAAAGTGGATGTGCTGTATATGTGCATGTGGTTGATAAATACCCTCTGCTGAGTGGAAGCCTCGGAGGCGCACTTTAAGAACACGGATACAGGAAAAAATGCTAAGCTTTAAAATAACATGAATATTTTACATTAATAATGAAGCCAACATCCGACTCTAATGAATACTGCATGCATGTTGGAGTGGGTGACTGCCTGCCGAAGAGAAAAGAGGGACAAATTAAATTATGCACCAAAGTAACGGAAGAGGGAAAAGGGAGGGAAAATTGGAAGTTGGCGTTAAGGCCACGGAAAGAATAGAAAATCCACTTAATGGGATGTGCCAGTGGGCATGATCTCTGCGATGACCTCTTTGCAACCCTGTTCGATTTGATCTTGTCAGGAGGCTTTTATAGGGCTCAGGACCGAACGGGTCGCTAGGACAACACATGCCGTTCTCCTTCCAGCAATGCACCCCCCCACACACACACACGCACACACCGAATTTCTCTCTTCCTCCCTCTCTCCTCATCTCAGCAAGGCCACTGTGCTCGTGGCGCTCCCCTCCGCCTCCAAACAAAGCCCAGGCAGCGGGAGTAGGCAGGTAATTGCTTGTCGATTATTTATGTGGCGCGGGAAGCTGGAGGATCGATAATGGGCCAGCGAGGCGAGGCGGTAGGGAGGAAGTGAATTGGGAGGGGTCACCCAGCGTGGGTGGGGGAACTCTGTTCGGTTCCTGGCCCAGCGCAGCATCATGTCAGGAGCTCAGCGTGCAGCTTTGACCAGCCAGCCGCCGCAGCTCCGCCAGCTCACGGTAATTAGCCACACAGGACCGCTGATGTTAACGAGGCCTGCACACTTCCTAGGTTGTGGGTGAAGGGAGGGAGGAAAGTGTTTTTTCTCACTCCTACACTCATTTTTTTGTTCATTGGCTCTTTAACCCTTTGTTTAGTTAGAGCTCAGAGAATTTAAAAACTGTTAAAATGCACATTTATGGATTAAATAACCCAAAATGACAATTCTGTCAACGTTTACTCACCCTCATGTTGATGGAAACACATAACTTTCTTTCTTTTGCGGAATACATAAGGGGGAATTGTTTTCTTTTTTCCATGCAGTTACAATGAAACGGGACCAAAGATACCAAGCTTCAAAAATCATATAATGCACAATAAATGTATTAAAAAAGTGGTCTATGTGACTTGGCACATTCTTAAGAGTTCATGAGAATGAATCATTTGATTTGATTCAAAAAGCAGTTTGAATTAATAATTCATGGGGGGAAACTTTTGGATACTTAATTGGGGGTTTATGTCCTATTCAAAGCTTTAAAGGGCATATTGTAGGTTAGAGGACCCAACGAGTCAATGTATAGAAAAATAATGTAGGAACTAGATTTTCTTTAAAGTATACTTATAAATGGTAAATGGACTGCATTTTTATAGCGCTTTCAAAGACCCAATAGCCACCAAGCGCTTTTACATTTTTGCCTCACATCCATTCACTCACTCACGCGGTGTCAGCCATGGAAGGCGCCATGCAGCTCGTCGGGACACTTGGTCAGGTGGAACTGGCGATTGAACTTCCAACCTTTCGGTTTGTAGACAACCTACATGAACCACTGCCGCCCCTACAGAAGCTTCTGGAGTCGTTTTTGTGACAAAATTTTACTTCCGAGTGTGATCGATTCAAACAACAGGAAAACAATGGATCGCAATGACATTTTGGACGCTGAGGAAATTGTTCATACTTACTCGTAAGACGGACCACAGCCATACAATTATGAGTCTGCTATGCTGCCAAGAGAGCAGGGACAGGCTAGGATTAATGTTAGACAGAATGGTCAGAGACAAATTGAGTTGTTGTGTGAGGAGAACCTGTGGAGAACAGGACAGGTGTCTTGGTGAGAGACGTGCTTATAGATGTATACACGTTCGCTAACGATATACACTTTGCTTACAATATTGTACTAATTATTACCATCTTATATCAGGCCAGCAGACATTAGTATGTTTAGGATAGATTTATACTATTAAATGTATAAAAACTATACTTGAGGATATTTCTATTGTACTAAAAACATACTCAAGTACATTTTTTAATACATATTTTTCACCTGGGTTATAACAAACAGAAAATTTAAGATTTGAATATTTAAACAACCTAGTAATTTTGTTTTTCAATTACAAATTGCCTTTATTTAGCCTTTATCTACCTATATCACACTATTTGATGCCATTGGTACAGTATAAGACGATCAATATACTTGTTTCGGCATCCCCTGATAAACTCCATCATATCGGTGGGATGATAAACCTTCGATCTGAAGTGAACGCTTCACACGACCGCGTTTTTTGAAGCCGATGCGGAAGAGAAATCCTGCACCAGACACGAAAGATATATTGCACCATCCCTTTTCTTGTTATAGAAACCCGTTGACTTGATGTCCTGACAGGCCGGAGATTTTGCAACCTCCACAAACACAATAATTTAACATGATGAGGATAAATTAAAATACAAAAACTACCAAAAACATACTGACTCAAGACCGCTCTTACTGAATACCAGCCGACTCTGCACTGAACTGAGGGTGGCGACTCCCTTTCATGGCGTAAAATGACGCGATGTTGAAAAAAAAAGCCGTTTTTATGAGAAACGCTCACTTCTACTAAATTAGTGCCCTTATGTCGTTTTAAAACATTTTAAATCCTGCATTAACTTTTCATATGGTATTTGCACACATGGTTATATATTAATTAGATTTTTTTTTTTACCTGCAATATGCTCTTTAAAGCTTCAGTCTCATTAAAATTGTATGTTAAAGAGTGACCTGTGCAGTCATCCAGTTTCTCCATTTATTCTCCACGTCATATGTGAATATGATGGTGGAAACATGATGACAGAATACTGGCCTGTATGTTTGGGTGGGCTGCAAGCTTTTAGCACAGATTGTGTGACATTGCTAACCCCTCTAAAGTATCGACAGAGAGTCCGCCAGGCTAAAACAGTGCGCCGGAAGCCATTCCTCAAGCTCACCTTTCTATCGACTCTCCATAATTGATTATCTGACGCCCATTAGTGGCTATTGTTAAAAACAAATCATTACCAAGATCAATAGTCCTGCAGCCATGGCTGGCCATTTGTCTGGGTTTAAATGGCAGATTGCATTTAGGGAATCTGCAAGGCAAATCCTAATGTGTTTGGCATGTGGGGCAGCGCAAGCAACAGACAGTGGTCTGGGGTGGGGGGCGTTGGGTGAGCAAGAGCCTTATGCATTTTAATGTGCTTCCTGTGCAAATGTGTTCCCGCCTCGAGTCAAGGCGAGGCGGGCACGGTGTGGCGAGCGGCTAATCCCCCGCGCTCCTCTCATTAAGGGCCATCCTGTCAGCTCTGCTCCACTTCTCTCTCTCTCTCTCTCTTTTTCTCGTCTGGCCAGTTTGTTGCTTTGCCTCTGCCTTCACACACACACACACACACACACACACACACACTCCACACTGCCGTTGCTTTCAGGCAGGGAGCGACGCCGCTGCCACTCTGACAGGTCGTCACACATGAGCGAACACAAGTGGCGTCTACTTGCCCTACCGCTAGCTAGCTATAGAGATCGACAGATAGAGAAAAGGAGAGATGGGGCAGGGTGGAGGAACGGAGACAGTCCTCAAAAGATGTAGAGGTAATTAAGCCTGTAAACTGAACTGCAGTCAGTGTAACAATAAATGTAACACATTTTTAAAGCTGCCTTGTGCAACTTTTTTTAAATGTTGAAATACTTTTATCTCTATTTAAAGAGATAAATGATAATAATCATTCAGGAAAATGAAAATAATCATAATATACTCTTATGTCTTTCTAAACCTGACCTTTTTTTGAAAAAAAAAAAAAAAAATCTGTAAAATACAAAAGAAGATGTTTTGAAGAATGTTTCAGTTGCTTTTGTCTATACAATTAAATTCAAGGAATTAGATCCCTCTTTCATTGTATGGATTAAAAAAAACTTTTTGTGTGACACAATGTTCATATCTCTTTAAAGCACATAGAAAACTAACATGCCAACTGGAAAACCTGTTTGAAAATATTCATTATTTTTGCAATTTCGACTGGTGTAGCTAGTGGAGCACAAAAATACACAATGCAGCTTTAAAATTTTTACATTTCGACAGAGTCATAATGCCTGCCCTCCAACATATCGCCCTGTTTTTTTCTTGTTCTTTTTCTATTTTCTGTCGGCCAAAGACCCAGAGTGAAATGGTTAACGCTTGCCTCATTCCAAAATTGCTTCCTATAAAAGGAGAAGCACGTCTGCCGGGCACGTCTCCCCATGATTACAGCTAATTACTATCGAGCGGACGCCTCGCGGCCCCAGTCATGCAGCTTTAATTGACCGTTATTCATCTGTGGGCCGCGCAGGGCGGCGCAGAGTTTGGCAGGCCTGGCCAGCGCCGCCCGGGCTAATTGTGAGGCCTGAGGGATTAGGCCAGGTGATTACACACTTCACAGTGTAATTACATAAGCATGGCTGGGCTGCCGGCCCGACTCCCGGCCCCAAGGTCACGCGCTGCCTTCTTCCAGATTAATTGGAGCTGCCACAGAAGTGCGAGGCACCGGCGGAAAGCGGTTATACGATTAGCATTAACATTTCAACAGCCGCCCAATCGATCGATGATTTCCCCCCTTTGTGTTTCTCCACACCTTCCTCAACCCCTCAATTTACACACATGCTTGTTCCGCTTGTACCTGTGTTTTTAGATTTCTTCTTTGTTTCTGCTCAAGGAAGACATGCTAGGGCTGTTTAGCTAAGAAATTGCGTAAAACCTAAGTAGAGCAAAATAGGGCTTCTTCCCTCATTTCAGATGGGTTTTTTTTCCGTCTCTTTCTGTTTGGATGTTTATGTGTTTGTGTTGCACTGCATTGCTCAGTCTCTCTCCCCCTGGAGCAAGCGTTACTCAGTCACAAGTACAAAGCAACCGCGCTTTTCTTTCGCTTGCTTTAGGTGTGTTGAGTTTCATTTATATTTATGCATGTGTGAGCGTGCGTGTTGGAGGGCTCAGTGAAGAGTTGCAGTAAATGCAGTAAAAAACTTTAAAAAGACACCGCAGGATTTGCCTGGATTTCAACACCTCGCCACTAGTACACTTCTTCATATTTTTCCTCTACTCCTTTTTTCTTCTTAGCCCTCATTTTCCTTATTCCCTGACATGGCTCTATAAAGGCGGCTGCTGTATTGTATATGAACAGCCTGTGTTCTCCACCTGTACAAAAGGAGAAAAATTTAATTGAGGCAACGCGACACGCCATCTTTTTATTGGTTGAATACGGCGGAGGGAGACAGGAAGAGGAGGGGGATGTGTGCGTGTGTGTTGGGGTGGAAGAGGAAGAACTGTGTTAATTAGTGGGTGCTTCAGCCTGTAGCCCGGGCGAGGCTGGGGGGCCGCCCCAGCTGTCGGAGTATGACATGCTCTTATTGTGCATTCAGGCCTCATTACCAGAGTGGCAGGGCCACAGAGCGCAGCAGAGCAAGAGGGAGGGAGCGAGCGACGAGATGATGGAGGTTGTGGTGGAGGGGGGGGGGGGGCAAGGATACAAACAGTGCTGCTGTCCGCAGCGTGACAGGACTGATGAGGGGCTACGGTCGCTCGTGTGCACCGGAGGGAGCGATAAAAATAACCGATGGAAGAGAACGCAGCATTACCATAACACCACACAGCTATATTGAAATCGACTTTGGAAACCTTGTATTGTAAGGATACCACCACACAGACGTAACAGTTTGTTGACAACCTGTTCATTACCATAGCACCGTACAACTGTACCAGACTCCTTAAAAAACCTAAATCATTACCACGACGCCACATATTAGACTTTTGGAAATCTATATAGTTAGCTTTCCAAAACAAAACACAGCCATAACAGACTGTTGAAAATCTGTATCATTACCATAATGCTGTACAGCTGAACCAGGCTGTTGATGAACCTGTATCATTACCGTACCGCCACACAGTCATATCAGACTGTTGTAAGCCTACCTGTTTTAATACCATAACATCACACAATTAAGAAAGTGCATGTATTCTGTAAGTAACAATTTCGTGAAGTCAAGCATGACGTATTTACAGACCCCAAGACAGACTCTGTTTACTTAATACACGGTTTAGTCTTATTGAGAATGATTCATGTGTGTACGTTATTCCAAAAAATAAAAAATAATCATAATCTAAGCTAATATTTTAAAACATAAAATTTTTCTTTGTGAATATCCTGTCTATGAAAAATGTATCCTGTAATATAAAATAAAATGGGTTATAAAAGCAGGCTGTGAAAGACTTGTATACAGTATAAAAACAGTAGCAGTTTGTTAATGATGGTGTTTTTTTTGTTGTTTTTTTATGCACAGAGACATATCGCATCCTCCATTGCTGTCCCCACAGAATGCCCCTCACATTGCTCTGGGGCCTCACCTGCGTCCCCCGTTTCTGGGCATGCCTTCTGCCCTTTGTCAAGCCCCAGGTGAGCATTACCTCTGCCATATGTTACACACACTCACATTTAGTCCGAACTCATTTAACCTGGGAGTTTTTTTTGATGTGTTATTGGTTATATACAGTATATATACAATAGCATTTATTTAAAAATATTATAACACAAGTGGACTTTTCAAACAAAATGTTAGGTTAGAAAATACAACATTAAGGCAAAATTATTTGAAGACTTTCTGATGCTCAAACATAGGTGTAACATCCTTAGTTAATGTGATGAAGAACAGCTATGTTACTCTGCTAGGACACCTCTGTGAACTTGAGGAGAACTGACTTCATACATCCACTTAAAATGACCTTGAGATCAGTTGGTTAAAAAAGTAATTAAAAATATTCCTCAAAGATGAAAGGTCTATCATCATTTATTTTGGGGCCACTGTACTATATATCACTATGTTGAATGTGTATAATCTGAACACTTGATGTATGTTGTATACAAACAGATGTATACCTTTTTTTTTTTTTTTATGATAGCTGTGCAATGGGATGAATGTATCCCTCCCCTTTAATATTGATGTTCTCTTGCTGTTGTTCTGTAGGTTATGGTTTCCTGCAACCTGCTCAGGCAGAGATGTTTGCTCGTCAACAGGAGATCCTTCGTAAGCAGAACCTTGCTAGGTAATGTTATCGAGATGCACAGATAATTGTCTTAATCAACTACTACTTGATGTTTGAGCACTTGTTTGTAATATACCAAAAGATAGATTTAATTGATGAACCTCACAAACACAATTTTATATTATGTAATTTACAATCTTTTTCTCAGGAAATGTTCATTTCCATGTTTCAGTATGGCTTTCTGATTGTGGAATGTTCCTCCAGGTTGGAAATGTCTGCTGAGTTGTTGAGACAGAAGGAGTTAGAGAACCTCCACAGGCAGCGACTGCTGGCGGACCCACTGGGCCTGCATCCCGGGCTTCCTGCGGAACACCCTGCCTTACGCAGCCTGCACGAAATCCCAGAGGGACACCCACTCCGAGAAGAGCTCAATCGCCGCAATGCCATGCTGGTTTTGCGGCACAACAACACCCCATTACTCTCCCTCAACCACCAGGGGGCAGCAGTAGGCACTTCCTCTAAAGACCTCAGCAACAGGAAGAGCGTGAGGAAAGGAGGACCACTCCGAGGGGACCAACAAGGGGGTTTGTCTGAGACCAAAGAGATGCTCAGTGAGGGTTGTGCCAGGGATGGAGAAACAGAGGGACAAGATGAAGACATGAAAGACTCTGAGATTGATGCAGAGGTTGGGGAAGATAGGCCTGAGAGGCTTTCCAAAGTGGACGGACATAGTCTCGGTTCGGAGGTGTGTCAAGGCAAGGATGTGAGCAAGTCTAGCGAAACAGTGAAAGAGCTGGGAGAGAGGTCAGGACGGCTCAGTGCCCCTTGTAGCTCCATTGGCCAAGAGTCACCGACCCACCACCTCTTCACATCAGGACTGAGCAAGAGTGAGGCCAAATACCTGCCACCAGGAATCCCACCCTTAACCACTTTGCCTGGACAAACGCTGCCCTTTACCTTTCCATACACCAGCCCTTACTTTCACACCGGTGAGTTCACAGCTGTTTAAAATTCAGATAGCAAAATCTAATCACATTCAATGAGAGATATTGTATCTTGTGCTTATTCAGATGGCAGGTAAATGTGACCCAAACCCAATTTTTTTTTGCTCACATGTGACTCTAATTTGTTTTTCCTCATGACAGTATGAACAGCAAAAACCCCATGCAATTAGATGTTTTTTTTTCTTCTTTCAATTCCGATTTTTGCCACTTCCATAAGAGGTACTAAATCTGATACAGGTCAGATGTTTTGCAATCCGACCACAGTCTGAAAAGTCATATCGGAATTCATGTGACTTTTAAGTCACTCTAGAGAGCAAGTCACATGGGAGTCACTTCAAAGATTTTACATACCCGAAGTTATCAAGATAGTTGCCAAAGGTAGTCAGTGATGTGTCAGAACTCATAAGTATTACAGTGACGGCTCATTCAAGCAAAACACCAGGGCTCGTATCATAAATGTTTAAAAAAAAAAATTTTTTATATATTGCCTGCACATAAATTCGCTGGCTTCTGTGGCAGATCACACTATAAAAAATGAGTAATCATTTACTTTAATGTTCTCAGTGTTTATTTCCAAATGACAGTGTGTTGTGTGAAGTGTTTTTATCATTCTTTTGCGCATGCTGGTTAGTTCAGGACCATGATCTGTTTGGCTTGGAATCTGATATTGGCCACATTTAAAACAACAATGTGAACAGCGATACAAAAAAAACGGATCTGAGCAATAAATCGGAATTGAGCACTAAGGCTTGCAGTGTGAACGTAGCCATGGAGACATAGATTTCCATATTCCAAAGCACTCCTCATTTAAAACGAACATACAGAGCGTATGCGTACACTAGTGTTAGTGACATCATATGCCTGCTCCTCAACTATAAAAATCTGGAGTTCACATAGTATTCCTTGTCCTCAAAGAGACAGAAAGAGTGAGTAAGAGAGTTAGAGAGAAACTGAGAAATTTAGCCCAGAGTGCAAGCAAGCCCAGAGCAAGTTTTAATGGAAAATGAGTCTCCTAATGAGGAAGTGACCAATTCAGAGAGAGGCTGAGCTAATCTACCTCAGGCATTCTAGCAAATACTGAGCATGCAACAAGTCTCATCTTACCAATGATAAGATGAGACAGAGAGAAATAAATAATAATTAAAAAAAAAATGATGTTATTGCTTACTGCCATAATTATTTACAATAATATGCCGGTTTCTCTTATCTCTATAAATGTAAGTGTATGGCAATCGCAGCTGTCAACCTCCAACCCAGACAGCAACATAGTGTTGGCCCAGATTCGGCCCCCATCTGGGCCTCGTGTACAAGATGTGGGTAGGATCTTGGCTATGCTTCACTATGTTGCTGTCTGGGGGGAAAAAACAACTATAGAATACCATGAAAAGTCAGGAACTTAAATGTACTTTCACTGGAAAATTTTGGAGCTTGACAGCCACAATTATTGTCCACTTTTGTTGTATGGAAAAGAGTAGCTTGGACAATGTGCTTGTGTTCCGAAGAAAAACAAATTTGAATAACATGAGGGTGTAATGATAGAATTATGTGGTGAAATATTCATATTCTCATAACAACAAAGTATACAAGGTTTAACCCCACATTAATATCTAGTTACTGAATGAGTGCAGAGCAACTTCAGCCATCTGAAATGCATTACCTGCTCCAGCTGAGAGACCTCCCCCAGGAAGGGGCCCTGTCGCTGACCTTTACTAAACTCCGTAATAGGCAGGGTCAATAACAGAGCTGTGTGTAGGTGCAAGTGAGTGTGTAAGGGGACAGGGGGCCTTCTGTCTCTAATGATTTTTGCTTCCTCTCGGCCCGGCGGGCTCACAGGCGCAATGGGAGGTCTTTTTGTGGACGGAGAAGAGGCGGGAGCAGTCGAGGACATCAGCAAGTGGAGTGTGGAGGAGGTGTGCAGCTTCATCAGCAGCCTAGCAGGCTGTGGGGAGTACACACAGGTGAGGACAAGAGCAGGAGCAGAGCGTTGGATACCCCCTCTCCTGCCCCTGCCTTTAACAGGGGCTACTGGAGACATTCAGTACAGCACAGAAGGAAGATCACGTGCTGCAATTTGTAGACAAGAACATTAGACCAGCATAGCTTGATTTAGTTGTTCCTTAAGTGTTCTTTAAAAAGTTAGAAGGCCGCTCTGCGCTGCTCTTATCTTTCTCACTCACAGCTCTGTCTCACACATTTCACCACACCGAATGTCAATCTGTCGCATGCTCAACACATCAATAAAACCCCACCGTTGACCACAGCGCACCACATTTCACTGCAGATGCCGAGTATGCATGAGCTTCCCCGTGGAATGAGTCACGTGAATTGTGTGCATGTTGAGTGAAATGGTCAATGTTCATCAACGTCAGCTGAAGCTAGGTCATCTATTTCAGGTCTTCAGAGAGCAGGCCATTGATGGCGAGACTCTGCCACTGCTAACTGAGGACCACTTGCTCAACAACATGGGGTTGAAACTGGGGCCTGCCCTCAAGATCCGCTCTCAGGTAAAGAGAAGACCTGCTTTACCAGGGGTGTCAAATCCTGCTCCTGGAGGGCCAACATCCTGCAGAGTTTTATGCAGACCTTAGTCCAACACACCTGCCTGTAATTATTCTACAAGTTTACATGTACATGAAATCAAATATAGTAACTTGTGCGTGTTTTTGCCGCTCTGTCCGGGGGAGGGCTCCGAGCTCGGAATTTGGCCCGAACCCAGAGTGCTCCCCCTCCTTGACTGGGATAGAAACCAGCCAAGAGTGAGGCGATGGGGTGGTGGAGGGATGCTGTGAAACTGTCGCAGGACAGAGGTGATAGACGGCTATACCGGCTTCCTCTTGCGCTCCTCCCGAACTTTGTTAAATAAAACTTCAAGTATTCTTGAGACCTTGATTACTTGACTCACGTATTTAAATGGAGTTATAGCTAAACTATGCAGGAAGATAGCTCTCCATGTCAAGAAGCTGCAATAATAGTGGACAGATATACAATAGGGAAAGGGTGAGCAACTCTGTCCCAACTGTCCTGCAGAATTTCTTTTGATCAGGGTTGGAGCTAAACTCAGTATTGCAGAGCAAGGGTGTACTATCCTGCTTCTGGAGGGCCAACTTCCTGAGTTCAGGACAAATCCTAATAAAACACAAGCAATACAAGCTAATCAAGGTCTTCAGGATCACTCAAAACTTCTGATCCGGTGTGTTGGAAAGGGATGGATCTAATATTTGCAGGAAAGTTTCCCTTCAGGAGCAGGAGTGCATACTGCTCCTGAAGAGTGGGCTACAAAGATGGTCCATAATAAATGAACTTGTCAGAACTTCTGACCAGTAGATTGCTGATATTTAGTTTTATGTTCTTGCCCAGGGCCCCACAAACCTATAGATAGGCCCAGTTTTTTTGTCTTGTTTCTTCATGTTATCACATTTCTTCGTTCATTATTCTGAGCAGACATGAACGCAGTCATCTTGTATCGCTGGTACTGTACATCCTTATGCACTTCATGTTGGTGTATGGTGTGAGAAATAACACTGGCATGTGGCTGCTTTCCTCAGGTGGCACGACGTATTGGCAGAATATTCTACATGACCAGCTTCCCGCTGGCCCTCCCGCTGCCGCCATCTGTTCTGCGCCCCACAGAAAGAGACCCCCTGCCCACTGAGACCCGTCCTCCTTCTACCGGCAGCACTTCCTCCCCATTCAGCGTGCCCCCTCCCGCTTGCCGCGCCTCCCCCAAACAGGAGAACGGAAACCCCTCCTCAGCGGGAGCCTACGACTCCACTAAACCTCCCTCGTAGAATTGGCCATTAAAACTCTTGACTGCTTCTCCATATGGCAGAGGCAGTGCTTCAGGGAGGAGGTAAAGACGGAAAGAGGGCATGAAGGGGGCCCTCTTTGAACTATTCTTTCCTTCCTCTTACCCCCTCTACCCCCCTCCTGAAATAAAAAGCAAACTTGAGGACCTTTATGCAGAGGCACTTAATCTTTTTAGGAAAAGTGTGGAGAAATGTGCAGAAAGAATAGAGACACTGAAGAAACGATGCGGGCTGAAACAGCTCCACCCTTCGCAGCGGCTGTGAGGAAGCCAAAATCCAAAGATGTGCAAATAGGGACTTGGGGACGAGACAGGAAGGGTTAGAGTGTGTGAGAGATGAACGTGAGCAGACAGCTGCTCCTAAACAGCATGCCAGAAAGAAGAGAGACGCATCCAGCGAGCGCACAAGGTACACATGCAACATTCTTTTGTGTCAGACTTTGTAGGAAAGCATAATTCGCTGCAATGAACTCTTGTGGTAACCGACATTCTCGGGGAGCGTTGAACTTCGAAAAAGACACTTTTTTTTCTTGCGTTTACGCCACCTCCTCCTCCAACTTCCAGCCATTTTTAAACTCTCTGGAGTTGGTTTTGCATCGAAAGACTAAATCCTCCAAAGAGGAGTCAATCTAAGAACAGGATGGAACTCATTTGCAGACTTGACCAGTGCAACTATGCATTCCACAGTCCAAAACCAAAGATGGATGGATGTGGAATTTTCAAACGAGATCTGGTGTTGATCTCTCCGGTGATGAAACAAGGTACACATACAGGGCCATACTGAAGGAAGATAAACTTAAAAATAAAGATGTGTGAAGCACTTATGACTTCCTGTGACCAAAAGCCATCAGCCAAAGCAATGGCCCACCCTCTCACCCGACAAACATCTGGGCCCGTTTTAGTTTCACGACCCCACGAAAAAAGGACATTAGCGAAGGATGTACGTATAGATGGATTAATGCCATTGTGAGGTCACAATTACTGCTGTGGGAAAGACATGTTATCCTGAATTGTATAGAAACATGCTCAAGATGAGAATATACTGAAGATGAAATAAGTGGTACGTTTTGTTAAATGTAGTTGCACGAGTTAAAAATCTTCTTTATTACTGAACAAAATGTGACTGGGTGACTCGGTGTTACTTTTGTTCTTCTTTTTCTGTTTGCTGTGTATTCCAGTTGTAATAATCATGAGCCCCAATCTTAAATGCCACTTCAGCATATAAATGAGGAAAAAAATATTTATAGAAAATTGTTTGCTGTAGTTAGAGCAACGAGATATTAAATTGTCCTTAAATTGATCCCAAAGAACAATACTTTTCTCTTTGTTGCAGGGAAATGGACGGCACAAAGCTCTTTATGCAAATCTTTGAAATAGTTTTTCCTTTTTGAATATGTAAGCAATTAATTAAAATCGTCACTAGATTTCCCATCAATGTTTTGTCTTCATCCTATTTTTCTATTCTCCGCTGGGTGAAATAAATCCTATTGCAAACTTAAAGATGCTTGTTTCTCTCATTTTTTTTTCTCCGAGTGATGTTTATTTCCAAACTCCTCCACAGTCATGCAGGGAGTGGCGGCCCCAGTGGATGGCAGTGGATGGTTAATCTCGTGGTTAGGGGAGTGTGTGTCTGTGTGTGTAGGGTTCAGGTCAACAACAGCTGTCAGAGCGTCAGGTTCAGTCACAGGCCAGGGCCCCTGTGGTCCCCGCCTAACCCAAAGAACAAATGACTCTCAGGGATGTCCACCTCTTAACCCATTCAGACCCTGTGTCCATTACAATGGACATCACATGTCAGCCCCCTTTTTTTAACTTCTGGAGCATTTCACAATAGACAAAACAGTCAATATCTTGGAAATGACGAGTCCCAGCAGATCGTCCTTTGGTGTGGTGAGTGGCCCCTAGGGGCCCTCTCAGACCCCAGAGTCCCGAGGTTATGGGACCCTTCCTTCTGAAGTGACACCTTTCCTGTTGGGCCCCATTTCTCGACACGTGGGGGCACTAGAGCCTCTGGCTAGGGCCCGTTGGAGAGGGCCCCTAGGGACCCTACTTTGACCCAAGTTTGGTGCATCTGGGCAGCTTGGTCCCAGAGTTATAGCCGTTCAAATGCACAAAAAGAGTGCATGTATGCTCACTTGCCATGAAACATTCTGCAATTGGACACCATCCCGCCTGCAATCTATTGAAAGGGGTTTCAGGTAGTATATTTGATAGACATTTTAACTAAAGTTCCTGTTGTGATAAAAACTATTTTACTTCACTCAGCAGGCCCCGCGGGGTCCGTGGCACCAAGCGCCGTAACAAAATTCTGCCGTCCCAAAATTCCGCCGTCCGCGAACCCCCTATTTTTATAATGGCATAAATGCTACATGGGATCTCAATATCTCAGCTCAGGAAGGGTCTAGAGACTCAATTTTTGCACTCAGGTCTAAGTCTCATGGCCCTCTGTCAGAATCTAGAGTTTCAAGAAGATCAGAGAAACTCAAAATTTTGACCCAAAAAAAAAAAAAACAACAGGGGTACCCCTGTAATTTTTTTTTTGGTGCGAAAAAATAAGTTTCTCCAATCTTCTCAAAACTCTGGATTCTGATAGAGGGCCATGAGACTTAGCTCTGGAAGGGTCTAGAGGTCTAGAGACATTTTTGCACTCAGGTCTGAGATAATGAGATCCCACGTAGCATTTGTGCCATTATAAATATCTCAATATCTCAGCTCTGGAAGGGTCTAGAGCCTCCATTTTTGCACTCAGGTCTAAGTCTCATTGCCCTCTATCAGAATCCAGAGTTTCAAGAAGATCAGAGAAACTCAAAATTTTGAGTTTCAGTGGTACCCCTGTCGGTTTTTTTTTTTTCGGTGCGAAAAATTAATTTTCTCCAATCTTCTCAAAACTCTGGATTCTGATAGAGGGCCATGAGACTTAGACTTGAGTGCAAAAATGGAGGCTCTAGACCCTTCCTGAGCTGAGATACTGAGATCCCACGTAGCCCGCCTGCAATCTATTGAATGGGGATTTGGGTAGTGTAATTTTTGGACATTTTAATTAAAGTTCCTGTCATGATAAAAACTGTTTTACTGCACTCAGGGGGGCCCCCTGAGTCTGTGGCACCAAGCGCCATCCCATAATTCCACCGTCCACGAACCCACTATTTTTATAATGGCTACATGGGATCTCAATATCTAAGCTCAGGAAGGGTCTAGAGACTCCATTTTTGCACTCAGGTCTAAGTCTCATGGCCCTCTATCAGAATCCAGAGTTTCAAGAAGATCAGAGAAACTCAAAAGTTTGACCCAAAAAAAAAAAACGACAGAGTTACCCCTCTCCAAGTTTCTCCAATCTTCTCAAAACTCTGGATTCTGATAGAGGGCCATGAGACTTAGACCTGAGTGCAAAAATGGAGTCTCTAGACCCTTCTTGAGCTGAAATATTGAGATCCCACGTAGCCCGCCTGCAATCTATTGAACGGGGATTTGGGTAGTGTAATTTTTGGACATTTTAACCCTTTGATGCGCAAGCTATGGATACCCCTTCTAATGCACAACATGGGTCTAAAAAGACCCGTATTCATTTCCTGTTATTTAATGCATGGCTTTTAATAATGCATGGCTTCTAATTCTTTTTATCTTTTGAGATCAATTTATTTAAGCATTTAATATTCCATGATCTATAAATTTCATGATATATAAGTATTAAAAAATATTTTTTTTAGGTTTTGTGTTACTATATCAAATGTACTTATCAAGCATGATAAAACAAAAGAATAAAGACAACATTTTGTTGAATTAATCATCTTAGAAGTAATTTAGACAACACGTTTAACACTTGAAATGTTTATTTGCCACTTTGTCTCGCATAGCATTGACATATTACAGATACTGATAACACTGAAATTTAACTGTGGTGTAGTGTAACTGTATTGAATTGTGGTGGTGAATGTGATCAAATAAAAGAAAACAAAACAGAAAAAAAATAAAATCACACTGCTACATCGGCATCTCAAATTGCTATCTTAGTGCTTACATGCCTCACAAATGACAACTACATGTTTGTGCTCCTTGCACACAGGCCTGGTGCACTGGGAACACCAGCTGCTGACTTTTCTGTCTTTGGCAGCTGGGCATATACTGCATCTCTTCCTCTTCGATTGGCCCTCCTGTCTGATGTCCTCCTGTGGTCGAGTATTTTGTTTTTCTATCCCACATCTTCCCATTGCCTACTAAATGTATAAGCTTTAAAAACTTTTTTTTTCAGTGTAGTTAACATTAGCTAGCTAGAATATGTCAACAGCTAGCTAGCTGATAGTTTTGGACATGTTTCTCCTTCTCACAAGTAATTTCTCACTAGGATTACAAGGTCAAGGTAACCATAGCCTAATATTCAAATATTATGTTGTTATCTTTTACTAAAATATATAAAAAATGTCTGTGGTTAAAATAAAATAAAATTAATAATTTTTGACCCAAAAAAATAAAAAAACTAACATAATCATTTGTGGAAATTAAAAACAAGATATTTATGAATATCTGGAATAAGAAATTATTAAAAAAAACATTTTAAATTAAAGATTCAGCAAAGAAACACTCAGCCATCACTAAAATAACATAGCAAATGAATAGTCTTCATCTGCACCATTCTGTCTTTGTCATTTTCACTACATTTCCCAGCATCCTCTTGTCTCCACACCTGAAATAACTCCCTCAATCATCCACCTGTTCATCGTCCTGATCATCTGTGTCACCTGTCGTCACCTTGTTAGTGTTCATTTTGTATCTCTATTTAGTTCTCTCTGTTTCAGTCTGTGCTTGTCGGTTCTTGATTGTTTCATGGTGTGCACTGTTAAAAAAGTTCCGTTAAAAAAACTTTTTCCGTTATTGTACGGGCACTTCCGTAAACCTTAAAACGGATATTTCAGTAGATTACCATTGACAGACTGTTCCGTCAAACCTAAAATGGAAAATTCTGTATTTTCTGTACTATTCACAGCTAATCCTTAAACAGAAATTTCTATTTTTATAGCATATATGTTGGTAGCAAATAATTCAAAAACGATATATACATATTGAACATGTTTTATTTTTGTAAAAAATTTCATGTAAACATTCTTAAAATATATTCAATGGGTAAAGATTGATATATACAGACAGACAGACACACACACACACACACACAGAATTAAACAATGTGCAAAGCACCATAAAAAGTGCTTATATTGTGGAAAATGTTAAGACATTAAACAAACATGGGAGAAATGGAAAAAAAAGGAAAAGAAAACATGAGCAGGTACTTGCACAATATTGGTGTTGCACCAAATAGCTCAAAATTTATATAATATTTTTAAAAAATGAGAAAAAAAAACCCCTTCATAAACTGTGAAAGTGAAGATTCAAAACATTTCCAGATTCAATACGAATAGAATATGATAAAATACAGAAACAAACAAAATGGAAAGAAGATAGGGCTTCTGCTTTTATCCTTAAAAATTGCTTTAGACTTATAGTCAAGAGAGTGAAATGTTTGGACACGTGCAGAATGGATGCAAATCGAATACCACACAAGTCCTCTGGAGGAAACGTTCAATCCAGTGGAGAATCCAGCGCACTGCACCCAAAAAAAGGATGGATTAAGCAAATTGAAGAAGATCTGAAGAACCAGCGGCTAGACCTACAGCAAGGCAAGATTAGTCACCACAGTTCGAAAAGCATGGAGGCAAGTGATCGAATGAGTTCGAAATCCTGCGGCACCCACAGCTGGATACTGGATGCAAGGTCATCCTCCCCAAGATGCCAGCTAGGGATTAAAGAAGAGTGAAATGTTAGTGTTGATGCCACTTTTCTGTAAGAGAACACAATATTACACAAAGCGTTAGCTCACCCCAAAATTTTAATTGTAATTACTCACACACACATAGATGGGGCTAGAGCCTCCATTTTTGCACTCAGGTTTAAGTCTCATGGCCCTCTATCAGAATCCAGAGTTTTGGGAAGATTGGAGAAACTCAATTTTTCGCCAAAAAAAAAAAAAAAACGTAAGGGGTACCACTGTCGTTTTTTTTTCGGGCCGAATTTTTGAGTTTCGATATCTCAGCTCTGGAAGGGGCTAGAGCCTCCATTTTTGCACTCAGGTCTAAGTCTCATGGCCCTCTATCAGAATCCAGAGTTTTGGGAAGATTGGAGAAACTTAATTTTTCGCCCAAAAAAAAAAAAACGTAAGGGGTACCACTGTCGTTTTTTTTTCGGGCCGAATTTTTGAGTTTCGATATCTCAGCTCTGGAAGGGGCTAGAGCCTCCATTTTTGCACTCAGGTCTAAGTCTCATGGCCCTCTATCAGAATCCAGAGTTTTGGAAGATTGGAGAAACTTAATTTTTCGCCCAAAAAAAAAAACGTAAGGGGTACCACTGTCGTTTTTTTTTTCGGGCCGAATTTTTGAGTTTCGATATCTCAGCTCTGGAAGGGGCTAGAGCCTCCATTTTTGCACTCAGGTCTAAGTCTCATGGCCCTCTAT